GCGCCTGGTCGCCCACGCAGCCTGCTGCTCAGTCCTTTGGTCACCCCTCATTAACCCCCCTGCCAACTGGGTCACCCCACACAGCCTGTTAGTCTTCCATTTGGTTGTGATGGTCACTTAGGATTTTATATAGATAGATTGTTATTAAAAACTAAACTGAAGGGGTAAAAATAAGTAGGGAATGAAAGGTTGTGTTGGGGAGGAACTTCATGGTATAATTCAAGGTTAGTTTAAGCATGCTTTAGGAAAGAGCAAACACAGAAAAATCAGTAGACTCTCAATAAAAAATGATTACTAATGATGATGATAGAATCCTCTTCTGTTAGGGCTAGGTTAGTTCTCATATTCTGTTATTGCTTTTCATTTTGAAGTAGAGTATTAGAAAATGAAGGGAGTTAAGGTAAGTTTATTTTTTATATTAATTGGGAATAGCCAGGAAGCATCTTAAATCCAGAGAAAACTTAAATATTGTGTTTGAACAAAGTAGAGTCTAGCTAATATCAAGGAAAAAAGGGCAAATATTCATGCTCTGCAATTCAAATTCTCTGAAACAGATTTTTAAGAGAGATCTATGACTTTAAGGTTCTAAGAAAGGCTTATACCTCACTCTTGAGAATATTTGAAGCATATGTAGATAATTAAATATATGGAAGAGTAAAGAAATGTAATTTATTTTTTTACAGGTAAAAGTTGCTTTAATTTTTATTCTGAACATGCCTTATACACATTTTTTAAAAGACTATGTGATTAATGTTCCACTTAATGTTTGAATAAAGCACTTCCTTTTATAAAAAAGGAAGTTGGTTTAGTTACAGCAGGCTCTGACTTCCCAGCCATCATCACCTAGAGAAATGATTGACTTCCCTGACAATGTACCCAGGGAAAGCACCACTCATCTAGTGACATCTCACACTACAAGTAAAACCATTATAGGAATAAGCTATGTTCAAGGGGATGAATGTAGCCAATTTAGTTCTATCTTAGTGATGGCAAATGCATTGCTTCCCATAAGATTACTATTTGCAGGTCAAATAATTTTAAATGTCAGGAGAAAGCTGCCGTGTTATAAAAATTATTATATTCCACGAAGAAAAATTCAACATAATTAAACATGACCAAAAAAGTGCAAGATTCTTCAAAGAGTTGACCCCAAACCACCATTTTGAAGCAAAAAAAATCTCAAATGACTTCAAAATTTGAATTAGGGGATCCAGGTCTCAAGTCTAACTGGATACCAACACAGCTTTTTATACCAAAGAATGGTTTTTAAAACCTTTATATAACAAACTTACACATTACCTGGTAATTGTTTTGGTTTTGTGATAACCTCAATTGGTTTGATGATGCAAAATGTGAAGAAAAATTATTCCGTGGTGGATTTGTATTACTGTAAATTGTTGTAGATGCTGTATGTAATGAGGTCCGTGGTGTCAAATGGTAGTCTCTGTTTTGATATAGTACATTGTTTGACAAGTCTCTAATATTCACCATCTGTGAATTTGGCATATTTCTTCCTGGTCCTGGCAAAGCTGTACTTTGGTTCTCAGCTCGAAGGGAACTGCAACTTTCATAAAATTTTGAGTAGCTTGGTATCTGTGCTCCCATCAATGCTAACTCCTCCTCTCTGGCATACTCATCATCAGCATCTCCAGTCTCCATTGCAATGGACAAACACGTTCCTTCTGCTGAACTAGGCTTCTGTGGAGGATTTCCTCCCAGAATTCTCTGGGGGTAATCACTAACTGCCAATGAAAATACTTCACGGATTTCTAAGTTTTGTGTTCTACAGTAAGGATCTCTAATAGGTGGCTTTTGCCCACATAAGTTATGTGATGTTAGACGTGTGTGTTCAGGCTTATATGGCCTTTGAATTCCAACGGGTTCAATTTTGCAAGGTCGGTGGCACACAGATGGCTTTTGAGGTACCATAATATCAGAGGCTTGCACTGAAGAGCTTCCGTAGTTTTTCTTTGTGTACACTGAGTTCCCAGCATTTAGAACACTTGTTTGTCTTGACAAAATAATCGTTTTTTCACCCAAGAGCAGAGAGGCATTTTTACAGTGTGCTACTTGTCTTTGAACAGGAATGTGCAGCTGAAACTCGGTACCATTTTCACTGGCCGTTTTCTGAATGGGGATTTTATGTGCTTCCGTAATTTGTGTATTTGTATATTTGGTTGTCCCTTGCTTACTTAATGAACTGGCTGGACTGTATATTCCAGTCACAATGACATCATTATTGGCAGATGACCAAGAAGACTGTTGGCTTGAGGGTTGAGAAATATTAACCACATTTCTTACTGTAATGTCTGGAGCTGCCAAAGAGGTACCAGGAATAGTTCCTGTCGTTGCTGCTCCTGATTCAGAATTTTTACTGCTCATTTTTCTTCTCTTATTGCCGACCCACGTCTGGAAGAACAAAAAAAAATATGTTATAGAAATTTTCTTAACAAAAAAGAGAAGGTAAAACGATTTCTGTACGATAAATTGCATTTCCATTTGTCAGAGAATCAAGGCCTATACAAATTAAAGGAAAAAAGAGATATAATAAAATTAAAAATAACTAAAGTATAAGATCAGAATGATCAGGAAATCGTATTTAATAAATACCAAGGACCTTTGATAATGGAATTGTATTGTTGCTCCTGTCCTCAAAACCCTACTAATTAATTTATCCATAGCAAGAACTTTAAAAATGTTTATATCCTTTGACCTAGTAAATCCACTTTTGTGAATTTATCCTAAAAATAATCATAGCTGTATATAAGTTTTTATCTAATGATGTTCATCATATGTTTTGCCCTTGACCGGAATCGAACCCGGGACCTTTCAGTCCGCAGGCCGACGCTCTATCCACTGAGCCAAACCAGTTTCGGCCATATGTTTCTTTTAATAATGAAAAATTGGAAGCATAGTTATCGTAGTTAATGTCATTGGAAAATGCTTGTGATAGTGTTAAACAAATATATACTTGCAATTTTCAGGTTAAATTGTTTTTCTTCTATTAATATTTTTTAACTTGGTTAATTTAATATTGCTAGAATTTAGGTTATTTTTATAAATATCCACTATTATAAAACGTACTACAACACACATCATTGTACATGCATCCTTGTGCTATTGGTCTGTTAGAATGTTATTATAGAAAGAAATTGTTGTGCTTTTTGATATTTTCAAACTACCCTGCCATGTATTTATAAGAGTTCTGCTTACTCCACAACCTTACCAAGACTTTGCATTTTCTTTTTGTGGTCCTTTGTACTCCAGGAGTTAATAAGAGGTATATAATTGCTGTTTTGATTTAAATTTCTATGGTTATTCTATTGCTTTGATAGAATAGCTTATCCATTACCTTTACTTATTTTTACGTTGGGTATTTTTTTAATTGATTTATAGGAGCAATTTTATACTAAAGGTAGCAACACTTTGTCATAAGTTGCAAATATTTTCCTGTTTGTCATTAATTTATGGTAGTTATTTTCTTCTTTATACTTTTCTCTCCTTACCAAATGTTATGCTGTAAATATGCATTGCTTTTATAAACAGAAATGTATATTATTAATAAGATAACACTAGTGATTGGCATTCAGGAATTTATTACAAAAATGTACTTTTATATAAATAATGTATTATAATAATCTTAGTATTATTACATTGAATCATGATTTTTCTTAAAATGTGCAATAAGAAATATTTCATTCCATAATGTGATCAATAAACTCTATAATTATTTCAAAATGTACACCAGATTATAAACTACCAAAACACATTTATCTATTAAGAATTCTTAAAAAATAAATAAGTGAAAACATTAAATGAACTAGCTTCACATGGATATGGTGTAGGGTAAATTTAATATTCGGTTACCTTTTGTGTGACCAAAAGTTTTAGAAGACCACAAAAATTATCCAATTCGCTATGCTTTTTATACTATAAGCTATATTAATGTTGCTCCAATACTATAAATAAAAGCTATCATGTATTAAGTACCTATCATATGTTTTTATAGATATTATCTCCTTTGCTAGGTGTTATCTTAAAATTGTGTAAGTGAAGAAACTGAGGTATAGAAATGTTAAGTGACCTGCCACCAGAATTTAAAATCAATTTTCTTGTTCTCAAAACATTCCTCTTCCACTATGGTGAGAAATTCCTGAAATGGTCATCTCTGGTGGCCATTTTATACTTTTGTAATTCATATTTCTCTAATACATAAAATGTTCCAGGAACTGAGATGGCTCCATTTTACTTTACATGAGGCTGTGAAAATTTTAAAGGTGAACTCTGATTTAGTTTTACTAAATGCAGAAGTGAGAATTATAAGCAGAGGGACAGATGAATATAAATGTCACAGAAGGAGACGGGAGAAAATCTAGAAAGTTTTTAAGTATATACTCAAGAGAAATATCTAAAAATAAATGTTTTTGGATAAATATAATTTTGATGTATGGTTCAAAAAGGTAAATTTTACAAATATTCCAAATAGATAATTGTGATATGGCTTTTCAAGTATGAAAAAATATGCAAAATAATTGAGACATAATTTTTATAAAAATATATACACATTACATTTTAAAATTATTAACACAAAAGCATAGTGAACTGGTAAAATGTGAACTCAAGAGCTACTACATTGGAAGGGCAGCTCTGCAATATTTCTGAGAAAACAAATAAATAGCCTACCATGTTCTCATCACAATATCAGATACCTACCCTAACACAGAAGTTTAAGAGTGATCCCAGTGCATTGTTAATTTATGACTGACTTAGATAGTGCAAATATTTTTTGCATAAATCCCTAGGTATTTATATTATCTACCCATCTCAAAATAAAATTCACTAGAATATCATGTCCATAGGACACTCAGCTATCTAAACTCAGAAGGCAGACAACATAGACGTAACAAGATCCGTGTGTTTTACTAAAACAACCCCTGACCTTAAAACCCATCTTATTTTGTTTTATATATAACTAGAGGCCTGGTGCATGAATTCGTGCACAGATGGGGTCCTGCAGGCCAGCCCCCAATCGGGGCAGGATGGCCAGGGTGAGGCGCCACAGGCAGTTAGTCGGCCGGCCCCACTCGCTGGTTGAACTCCCAATTGAACTCCCAGTCGAGGGGACAATTTGCATATTTTATTATATAGGATTTACCAAACTTGGTATTCTAATCTATAATAAGTTAGAAATCACAAATATGAGGGGACTTGGGATTGAGTTTGCTTTTGGGGACACTTTGTTAGCACCAAAACTAAGAATGTTTACTAAGTGCATGTTGCTCACTAAAGAGGAGAAGGAAACACACACACATACACACACACAAGAATTGATGTGAGAAATCATTAGACTGGTGTTTTTTAGTAAAGGAGAAAGTCACCACATACACCTTAGCATATTGTGAGCATTATTATGTGAGCACAGTACAATAATTGATTTCCAAAATAAAACTCTGAGCCAAAACGTAAGGATTTAATATTTTCAATATTCTCTACTGAAGTAAAGTGATAAAGTATGTATTAAAAATGTTGTCCACTTAAAATGTTAAAAATAAAGAAAATTCATTGTCTGAAGGTTCCAAGTAACTGAAAAACTTTTTTCCTAAAAGTCATTCACTTACAGAATCCAAAATTTACCAGTGCTTATAGAATATACATTATTTTTCTTTCCAAAGGCTTTATTGGTGTGAAAGAAAAAATAGGTCAAACAAATAGATATGTTAATTTGGGATTTGGACTAGGAAAGTAATACAAGATAAAAAGTGGAAAGATACCAGGGTCATCAATCCTTAATGTCCATAAGATTCTTTTCAGTTTTCTCTTAGAAATTCCCAACTTATTTTCCTTTTTTTTAGACCTTCCTCTTTGTTTTCCTATACCATTACCCCATCATATTTATTTTTGCATGGATATTTTAACCTTTTAAACTCTATTTACATTAAGATCATGTTTAGTAAAATGAAGAAAACCACAACAAACTATATTATAAATGAGAAAAGTAAGTTATGTTTCAAAAGAACATACAGACCAAGCAAAATACTGGGGGGAAGGGAGGCTGTGGATGATGAGTCGATAAAGAACTCCCTTTTTGTCTGACTAGAAAAGCCACCAAAATTGTGTTGGAATTTACATTTGGAAGACCAAATTTCTGTACGCTCTCCTACAACAGAGAGAATGAACCTGTTTGACACAATTCCTTATGATTTATATAACATTTTACTTGTAAGCCTACATTCTATGAATTTATTTTTTTTATTTCTATTGTTTGTTTTAGATTTCACATCATTTGAAGCATAAATATAAATCTGTGTGTTTCAACACTCTCAATATTCAAGTACAATCAGTAAGTTATTAGGAAAGATTCAATAACAAATTGGAAATATAAGAGGTCACAGTCCACAAAGCAGCTGCCTAAGAAGGCATTTCACTTTAAAGCAATGGTAAAATAAAACGGAAAAACGTGAAGAAAGAAGTTCCATGGGTGGTGGGGGAATGAGTTTGTACTTATAAAGTGAAATCTCATCAATTTGAAATATTATGCACTTTATATTATTTTTCTAAAGCAATTAAACATTTTTTCTCTCAAGTTCACTAAAGGCATTTCAAATAGGGAATTTTAAGCTATCAATAGGAAAAAAATTCTAGTTTATGATGGTTGATCTCAGCCAGTAAGTAATAGATATCCTGAATATTCCCACACCCTTAGAATTGGTGGCACAATTTCCTATTTGAAGATGAATACATCATTTAGTTTTTAAGAAATTAATTTCCCAAATAAGTTTGCTTATCAGGATATTTTTTATATTTATGGTCTTTGAAAGTTCATCTGAGAGAAAAATAATTGAAAAAAGACATTCTTTCTCTTTCCCAAATTAACCTGATGATGACAAGGATGGGAAAGCTGCTAATATTTAAATCCCTAAGGTTTCACACCAGCAGGATTTGTAGCATGTCCAGACAAACATAAAAGGACCTATGCACTCAGTCAAATCTGTGACTAGTTCTGATAGATTTATCTCTTGCCTCCTCTCTATCACCTTCTCATTGCCTTCTCGAACGTTTGACAGCTCTGATTTTTACAGATGAATATGATTGTGATAAAGAAATTTCCTCCCTTGTGATTTCTTGTCCTTTACTTGCTAACCCATTAAAATGCATGCATTTTAATTAAAAGACAGAGGAAATATCCATAAGAAAGTCGAGATTTTCCTAAAAAGACAAAAATACTCAAGTTATAAATGCCTGAAAATATTCCCTTTTTCTTGTTTTTAGATAAAAGAAAATATGCTAGATACATAATAGCCCCTCAGTAAATACCTGCTTTACTGTTATAGGATTTTGTAGGGTTATATATCTATATTAATTATAGGTTAAAGCAGCCGTAGGCAAACTACGGCCTGCGGGCTGGATCCGGCCCGTTTGAAATGAATAAAACTAAAAAAGAAAAAAGACTGTACCCTTTTATGTAATGATGTTTACTTTGAATTTATATTAGTTCACACAAACACTCCATCCATGCTTTTATTCCGGCCCTCCAGTCCAGTTTAAGAACCCATTGTGGCCCTCGAGTCAAAAAGTTTGCCCACCCCTGGGTTAAAGGCAGCATAGAATCAACAACTAATTTTAAAGGTATTCGTTAGTTCGAAGAACTGGGATATTTAAAGGTATGTTTAAATGCAAATTATTTTTCGTTTCTTCAAGGTATTCATAGAAACAAATACATACTAAATAATTAGCTTGGTCTATTTTAAAATTAATATATCAGAGAAATGAAGCTCTTTATTAAGTTAGTGACTTCATACCCTGATAGTTTTTCTTATATTAAGCAATTGTAACTTGTAATAAAAAGCTATAAATTCAAGAATGTGAGACCTCAATACTTACCCTGACTACACTGAAGTCCAGCTTAGTCTCCTGTGCACACTGTAATATTAGCTGAAAGCAATTTTTACTTTGATTTGTCATTCCATTTTCATAATAACGCTGTAAAATCCTTTGTTGTTCTACAGTAAATACAGAACGTAGATTCATCTAAAAATAAAAGAAGATACTCTGAAAATTGGAATAAAAGCTGTGTATGTGTAGAATTTGCAAGTCTTTAAAAAACAATTTCAGTGCTTTGAAGCTGCAAGAAATTTTAAAGTCAATTAATCCCCATTAGTGGGCAAAAATCTGTGTGCCAAAGGGAGACAGGTTCTCACTGAAAAATTATACATAATGGAAATACATTGAATTTGCTTAGAAAAAAACGCCAACATTAAAGACAATAAAATGAAAGCCTTATCTGGATAGTGTCTTTCACTGAAATAAATATTTATGGCTAATAAAGCCAGAGATGGTGGTAGCTATACGTGGTCAATTATCAACAGGGACACTCACTGTTCTTTGTCAAGCAAGGCATCTGGTATATGTCGTATAGCCAGAAGCTGTGCTCTGGAACAAAAAAGTGTCTTCTTTTTCTTTCTTTCTAGGTAAAAGGGTTCTTTTTATATATTAAAACAAACCCCCTTTTTAAAGCTTGAAAATAAACAAGAAGTTTTAGTGACTGTGAAAATTGTTTTAGGTGATACTAAAACAATTATTTTTAATAACTATATAGTATACAAAATAAGAATCAAAATCATGTACATTTTACTAAAAAGAACGCATATAAAAACTATTCACCTTTTAATTAAATTAATACCGTCATAATTAGATAAGAGAAATTTATAAAACTCTTTATTCTTCCCATCAATATGTAACATACTTAATATTAAGAGAAAACAACTCTGGTAATATCAGAAGTAAAAGGAAGGTCAAACTCTTTTTAAAAATGATAAATTCTAGTAGTGAATTTTGTATAAAATATTTATAATTAGATTAAGACAATTTTAGGTTCTTGTTAAAAGCTGTCACACTGAAATTACTGCTAAAAGTTGAAAGTCAGGAAAAAAAAACCCTTCCCAAGGAAAGTGTCTCTCAAAATTAGAAAAAACAGCAACAATAAAAACAACCCTATAAGCCAAACAAAATAGAAATCATTCTAGTATACTAGGTATGGAAAAAAGCCAAGTACACTGACATAAAAATTAACTTCCCTTTGTCTGAATATTTTAAATTACAAAGCCATCTCATAAATAAATTAAAGACAGTCATATAGCAATCCTCTGCATTTATATACCCAACTTTCTTTCTTGCCCATACAAACATCTTCCTATCTAATGTCTAGAGAGCTGATGAAAGAAAGTCAGATATTGGAGAGGGCCCCAGAAAGATGAGAGTAGAGTTTCTTCCTGGAATACTCAGAAACAAATAACTCAACTAATTTTCTGAAGGGTTACCCATGTAAAAGTATAAACCTTTTATCTGAAATCTGTCCAATTTTCAAAAGATGTTGGGTCCAGAGGACAGCATCCATAAAAGCAATATCTACTATATGGCTGCCAGCTTTCAGAGCACGTTGTTTTTTGCTGAGACAAAAGATGGAAGTCAAATAACTGAAAAGATTCATCTGGTGTGGATTTAGATGCAAAGAACTTTGGAATGAGTTCTGAGGAGGGGAGTAAACTTCAATTCACTGATGCATAATCAAGGTAAAGGCTCTGATCATTTTCTGCAGGGCAGTAATACCATAAAAAGCCTAGAGTGCAAAATATGGGGGATCCCCAGGTGTGATGATACCTGAACTAATAATATAGGAATGCTTTTCTATTGGCTGGCTAAAACTGCTACATTCACCCAAATGTGATATGAATCTTTAAAAGCACAGCAGGTCCTTTGTCACTAACAGCCAAATATAGGTAACCAGCACTAAACAGATTTCTGGAGTCAACAATTCTAATGATAGTGTAAACTTTTTAGTTTTTCCCTTAAATTCACTAGCAACATCAAGAAGTCCACTTCACTCAAGAGTTCTACTATTTTTGCTTTCAAATTACAGCAAGTAGACAAACCCTTATAAGCAAGATAATTTATCATTACCTCCATCCACCCTAGTTATCTTGGTCTATTAAGTGGAACAATATTGAATAACTATACTACCAAAACTTTTAATCATTTGCACAAAAAATAAAAAAAGTTGTAAAAACCTTCCATTTAAAAGTTGGGGTCTTATATATGTGGTAGATAAAATAATAATCCACTGGTTTCATAAAAATGGAGGTCCACTGGTTTGGGGTAGGGAAGGTAACTGAATTAAGGGATTAAATGATGAAATAAGTCATTTAGCTTTACCCCAAGATTTACTTTTTGCACTGCACCAGCACATGCCATCCCACAAGAATAAGACAACGTGTGACCTACTCTCAGCTCCACTATGGTATATTGGGTAAATCACTTAATTTCTATGAGCATCCATTTTCTAGTCTATAAAATATTAGATTATATAACTTATTTTACTTTCCAATCTGGATTGGTCCAATCATTTGGAATATGCAAACTGATTTTTCTTAAATTGTAAAGAATGTACAGTTGTAATGTATATTTACATTTTTAAGTATGACTAGGCCCTTTTCTTTATAATATTCAGGTATGGGATTTGTCAGATTGTCCTAAGCTCTAAAATTTGATGTTTTAATGAGGACTTTTAGCCATTGAGAAAACATTAAATTATGCTCAGTATGTTGTATTCAAACAAGGAGAACAATGAGTAACATATTTTAGATTTATTGCTTCAGAAGTACTTGAAAAATAGTTTCTAGGAATGACTACCTCCTTCAAAGTTCCTGGTAGCTAAGGATATATTTTCACATGGGTATATATTAGATGAATTCCTATATAACATTATTGTCATACTTAAAATCTGCTCTAATAATGACGTAATAATGTCTTAACTGGTTAACTAATTTGGAAAGTACCAAAATATTTTACTCATAAGTACTCATTCTTGGGAAATTTGATGTTAAAATGGGTATTCCATAAAATTCAATTCAAATATTGCACTTTTCCAACAATAAAAATTTGAAGTGTGTATAAGCCATTGTGTTTTTGTTACTGTTTTTAAAGAGTTAAGCCTAGGTTAATATAACACCTTGAGTATCTTTACCTTGGCCAAGATGTCTCTATTTACATAATCCTTTTAATCCATTATTATTCATCTTTAAATTTACATACAGTAAATATCACTCTTTTGGTGTACAGTTTTATGAGTTAAGGCAAATATATACAGTAGTCATGAAACCACCTCCACCATAAAAACACAAAACAATTCTATCACTCCAAAATAATTCCCTTATGCTGCTTCTTTATAATCAATCCCTCCAGCGACCCAGGCCCTGGCAACCACTAATCTGTTTCTATAATTTTAATTTAATATAATGCCATAATAATGGAGTTAAACATATGTGTTCTACTGAAACTAGCTTCTTTCATTGACCACAATGCATTTGAAATTGACCTGTGTTGTATGTATCAGTACTTTTTTTTTTTTAAATTTCAGAGTAGTATTCCATTGTATGGATGTACCATGATTTATCCATTAATCCATCAATGGACATTTGGTCTTTTTCAAGTACTTGGCTATTATTAATAAAGCTGTTAAAAACTTTTATATGGAGGTTTAGCTCTGCAAATAAGGTTTAATTTCTCTTGAGCAAATACTCCGGATTGTAATTGCTAGGACATATAGTAAGTATATGCTTAACTTTATAAGAAACTGTTAAACTGTTTTAAAAAGTGGCTTGTGTTCAAAAGTACACAATATTTTTCTTCATAATATTCTATGAAGTATCTGTGTGTTTTTAATCTCCTCACCAGCATTTATCATATTTGTTTGAAATTAGCTATTCTAATATATGTGTAATTGTATATTATTATTATGGTTTTAATTTGAATTTTCCTAGTGACTAATGATGTTGAGAATCTATTAATAAGCTTATTTGCAATCCATATGTCTTCTTTGTAGAAGTGTCCAAATATTTTGCAAATTTTTGAACTTGATTGTTTGCTTAGGTATTATTGAGTTGTTAGGGTTTATTACATATTCTGTATACACGTCATCAGAAATATGACTTGCATATATTTTTTCCCTGCTTTTGGTTTGTCTTCTTATATTATTAACAGTGTATTTCCCAAACAAGTTTTCTTTTTTAATTCTTTATTGTTGAAAGTATTACATATGTCTCTTTTTTCCCTAATTGATCTCTCCCAGCACACTCCCGCCTCCCAGCACAAGCCCTCACCCATCCCCCCATTGTCTGTGTCCATTGGTTATGCTTATATGCATGCATACGAGTCCTTTGGTTGATCTCTTACCCCCCTTCCCACCCTTCTTTGCCTTCCATATAAGGTTTGATGGACTGTTCAATACTTTTATGTCTCTGGATTTATTTTTGTTCATCAGTTCATGTTGTTCATTATATTCCACAAATGAGTGAGATCATGTGATACTCATCTTTTTCTGACTGACTTATTTCACTCAGCATAATGCTCTCTAGGTCCATCCATGCTGTTGCAAATGGTAAGGTTTCTTTCTTTTTTTTCCAAATATATATTCCATTGCATATAAATGTACCACAATTTCTTTATCTACTCATCTGCAAATGGGTACTTGGGCTATTTCCAGATCTTAGCTATTATAAATTGGGCT